AACAGTTGTCTTTGCTCAATACTCAAGATCAGATGGTCAGAAATGATCAGTAACAGGGAGGGATCTCTGGGAGCGAACCAACTAGGAACCGATTGTGCAACAAATAGGCAGGAAGACATGGAGATGGATTGGCGGCCATACTCTGAGGAAACCATCAAGTGACATCACACGCCAAGCCATTGCTCGAGTGGAACCCGAAAGGGAAGTGGCAAGTTGGTCGTCAGTGTGACAGTTGCTTGGAGGAGGTCTTGTGAAGAGGAGATGGAAGCATGTGGGCAGACTTGGAGCAGGGTGAAAAAGTTGGCAGAAAACCGAAGGCAATGGAGACGCGCAGCTGAAGCCCTATGTTCCTCTAGGAATTAAGGGATATAATAATAATAATCATTATTATTATTAATACCGCATTTATTTTTTGTTAGTAATACTGCATCTATCATACAAAATCTATACATAAAATTCACCTTAATTCCATTAGCTTTTGCCCACCTGGACTGATCATTCATTTTTCACACTTATCATGTATTTCCAAACTCTGTCTGTTTATTCTAACCCACAGTTAGTCATCCCATTCTAGATCACTTCTTGCATTATTATGCAGTTTATTATTCTTTTACTCCTTTAGGTTTTCAATGGAACACAGGGCTCCAAGCTAGAGCTTTGAAGTTTCGGTAGCAGTGCTATTTATTTTTACGAGATGGGGTTGCTAGCCGCCTCATGTTCAACCTTCCCTTTTTACCAGTATAATTACTGAATTAACGAAGTAAAGGAGTGCGTAGGCCGGGGATCGAACCCCGAACCACGTGAGTTGTGGTTGGCGAGCATTCTACCGCTGTGCCATCGACGCACGCAACAGATTTTACAGAACACAGCTGCCAGTATCTGATTAGTTTTATAAATTCTTTTTTTAATATAAATGTTACTGTACAGCTGCTGGAATTATTCGTCGAAGAGGAAAACTCGCTGTTACGTTTTGTTTTGTATATTAGTCAAGATGGAAATTTTACGTACATTCCTGTTTCGCTTTCTTTACACATGACTTATTGTGTTGATATAAAACTACTTACAATAGTTACACTTATGATCCGAAATTTTTTATTCAAGGTGTTTCTACATTAGATTATTCTCATGTGAATAGTTTCCTTTAAGAAATTTAACCAGCAGTCGTGTCTATTGGTGTCAAAATGAACAATTCTAATGCAAGGTTGCTGATTTTAGTTTCAGGTGTGAGTAAGTCTCATGCGAATTACTTTATTCACTTGATTCTTGTAATATCGACGGCATTGTTGGAGGAAACAATTCGAATATTTCTCATCTCCATACCGATTTCTCCAATAATTTTTTTCGGTTGCCTCATATCTTGTTGGTTTCAAAAAAATGTTTCCTTAGACCTACTACATTAGGAAGCTGAAATTCTCCAGCTTAACTCAATCTAATTTTCAACCGTTTCTTGTTTGGTGTGTTCTGCTCATTCCTTGTCACTATTTCTCTTTATTTATCCTTAGTTTTCTGGAAAACGTCTATGCCGTATTACGCTGTACTTTAAAGCCTGCAAACATGGTGAGTGACGCATCACTGATAAAACTAACTGATACTGGTAATCAAAGGCAGACTGCTTTATGCAAACAGTTACCTATGGCCATCTTGTCAGATACTAAACACCTTCACCTTTCGAACTTTCTCTTTGAAACTCTTCGGGAAAAACTAAAAGAATTTTCATCAAAATTTATGCTCGTACGACTGAATGTAAAAATCCATACGCACTCTATTTAGCTTGATATTGTATGAAGAGACAAATGCCAGAAATGAACTGAGTAATTTACTCCATTATCTGTAAATAAACCGCTACTTCTTTCTAGCATCATTCTTCTGTTAACTTCAGATTCTGCGGTTATCTAACTTTTTTAGTTACAGGATTTCATCATCAGCTGGCATCGGTTGGAGAATCATTAAAAACCCTGGGTTATCTTTTTCGTCAACCCAGTTTGGGACTCTTTAACAGTACGCACCCACAGGGATGTGAACCCGGAATCTCTTGGGTTCGCCGAAGACAATGTTTAGTGGTCGCGCTATATAATGAATTGGCACAAGCTGGAATTCATTTGCAGTCCACTGAATCTGGTCTCAGTGGCCTAATGGTCTAGGAGCTATCTCAACTGACAACCAGAAGGTCCTCAGTTCAAACCCTGACGGTGGGTGCGTACTGATGAAGAGTCCCAAACTATGCTTACGAAACAGCTGTTCAGTAACTCCAGGTTTCCTAGTGGTTTCCTAACCTATGTCAGCTCATGATGAAATCTTGTAACCAATTAATCAAATCCCTACAAACCAATACTTGAACAATTCGTTTTTTTTTTTAAGTGGAGATAAATTGTAGCAATATGTGCTTTCTGAAAATTCCATTTTCCATAAAAATTATTATCTGGAATAAAGTGATTATTATTATAATTAATTATTATTACTTCTCCACAGACGCTGCTCTATATATTAATTGTCTATTTATAAATAACACAAACATTTAAATTTTTGGTTACAGAATTTCATCATGAGCTGACATTGGTTAGAGAACCATTGGAACAGCACCTGTGAGTACTGGACTGCTGCTTTGTCCCAGTTTGAGACTCTTCGCCAGTACGCAACCACACCTCGGGGTTCGAACCCAGGACATTCTGGTTACAAGGTGAGCTAGCGCGTAGACCATTAGGCCATTGGGACCCTATCCAATAACCAGCCCATGAATTCTAACTTCTACCAATTCACGATATAGTGTCAACCGCTAGCCAATGTCTTCGGCGAGTATTTATCGTTACACCCGACCTGCTGCACCCTACTGGTCACGACTTCCCACCAGAACCCCTACTTGAATTTCAATTTTTGTTCCCTACTCATCTGATGAGTCATAAAATTGAATCGCATTTTGACCTTAATTATCCCTTTTTATTGTCACTACTTGTGATGCATAACTTCGCTATGTGATATTTGTAACTGCGATTGTTTGTACAGTTAACAAATGTTATGGCTGAAGTGACAACTAAACAAAATCATCAATACAAAGCCGAACCTGTACAATCTACACAGGCCATTAAGTTTATGTGTGAAACTGTCATTTTATTCTTCTTCTTCTTCACTATACAAAGTATTAAAAATGTCCCATAGATTGCTTCTAATGGTCTAATCGCACTGAACATTCAGCATATCACTACAAGATGATGTTATGGTCTATTATCTTATTAAAATTAACAATAAATAGGCAGTTTCTTTGTAATCGCTTCAATTAAAGCCTGACAATAATTAGAGATATATGAAGTATCAGCATGCAGAAACAGTCATAACTCAACGCAATACACCGTGGTAACAACCTGATATATAGATGTAAAGCCATGATTTGAGGAATGTTATAATTAGAAAGTAGTGATAGATATCTACCTACATCTATGCTTGCTGGTTCAAAATTAAATGATTGGGACAAAATTATTTGTGAATCTATAGACTGGGAAAATATGTGAGTAGGTTGGTGAAGATTATAATTAAACTACTTTGATACATATGACATCTGGGAACTTCTCTACCTCACAGTCGGTCAGATGTTTCATAGACATCAAACTAGTTACTCCTGGTTGTACAAATCGAGTTATTTTGTTTGGATTCTTATGGTTACTGATATTTTGTTTAATTCGAAGTCTAACTGCATTTGGTCAATTAACAGAAACATGGTAAATGACAGAAAATGGCTGGTCCATAGCTACCGTTACGGTAATTCTGGACTAGTTGCGGTGGTATATAGTTAGTTATAGTTCTTATTAAATCTTTCTCTAGCTACAAAAGAAGGTATGGTTGAACCCAGACGATTATATTCCTAGAATAACGTGACTGGAACCACAGGATATAACAGATAAATACACGGATAAGTGTGGCTATTTTTCAGTTTTGATGTCACCAGTAGACTTGTGTCAAATATGATTTATAATTTCCCTTCATTGGTTGTTCGTCGAATAAATCTTTTTATACATGTATTTTCTGATAAGTTTACCCAGATAATCCTTATCAAGAAGTGTTTTGTCAGAACATCACTTCTTCTTCTTCGATGGTATCATCTGAATACATTGCCTTTATTCTTTGGTTTAAAGTCTTTATAATTTTTTTCATTCGCATTTACACCAGTTAATATTTTTATTTTAAAAGATTACTATGAATGGCTTGGTAACAGGTCTTATGTTGTCAGCCGTAAAACTGTCTGCGATAGTTTGAAATTAAAGTTATTTAGTTGAAATTTCGCAATACTATGCGGGGTTGTTTTTGACACAAATCACCTGAAGCTACAGATTTCAACGACTTAACTGTTTTATATTTTCCCTTTCAATGGAGAGAATAATACTCTTGAAATCTTCTTATTTTCTTTTATATCACATTGGGAAACTAATTAATTTCCCTTAACGCAAAAAACTCCTAAAGCCCATTCTCAGTAGTTAAAAATCAACTTATGGGCTTCAGCCTTTGTCTAAAGAATTAGGCTGTAAAAATTGCTAATGTATAGGTGAAGAACTGATCACTAACATTCAAAGCAGGCAAGACAGTATTAACATTTCTAAGCCATTTATATACATACATACATACATACATACATACATACATACATACATACATACATACATACATACATACATACATACATACATACATACGAGGTATTATGAGGAGTCCTCTGACGAAAATCCCTACACTCAAGTTCATGCATGCCGGCTGTGAGAAGTACACACCTGAAGGTATTTACCTCTCCTCTGTCATTCAAACTTGCTGAAGCACTGAAACATACTGCTGATTGTGACTAGACTCAAACTTCTGGTGGTATTCGAAAAGTTTAAATTATGCGCTGAACTATAAATTTACAAGGACTGAAAGTTTTAAACTTCAGAAAATCCTATTTACTAATTTAATAAAAGATTATTATATCCCTTCGTTAAACAATATATATATTAACTGATATGTGGCTTCAATTCAGCTTCTCATTTTCCCCAGTGACCTAAAAAGATAAAAATTAAGTGTAAATAATTATATTTTAAAAGTTTAATCATTATCTGGGGAAATTAATATGCAAGTTTTATTCAAAAAATTTCCACATTAATCCTTATTGGCTTAAATATGCAGAGCAAAAATCCTAAATACTCTTAGTTGGAAAGATACTATTTGCTAAGAATACATTTATGGGATTGTTACATTTGAAAATCTCAAAGCAGATTCCTTCAAGAACGGATATCACCAAAGGATCACTGAAAATCATGTGGCACGGAATATCTATCTCGTCCCGTTTTGGAACTCAACGAGGGGTTGAATACAGGACCTTCAGGATACGAAACAAACCCGTCTATCATCCAGCTACTGCTCGTTTTTGCATAAAGGAAAGCCCTCCAAAAGATCTAATATGAAGTCGTGGTCGCTTTGGTTGAAAGTGGTGGTCTTATAACATGAAATAACAGACGTCTGAATTTATAAGCCACTGGATTATAACCCAGTGACTGAATAGTTAGCATCTCTATGCTTTAATCGGAAAGTCCTGTACCTGATCCCTGATTAGGTCTTAAGTTGTGTATTGTCAATATGTCCCAAACCCGAACGAAACAGCTCTCCAGAGCCGCTTGATTTTGACTGATTCCCTAACTGATCTTAGTTCGAAATGTACTTTGAAATTTACCGCATCCTTAGAAATCCGAACATCTAGAAAAATTAAAAACTTCCATTTTAACTAACTATTTCTTCGTGAATTTCTGATTATGTCCTGTACTCTTTCAAGAGTTCAAAATATACTTACTCTTTACTCTTAGATTTCAAAATAACCGAATGGTTTAAATATTGAAATAAATAGCACATCTGAGCAAAGTTCTGTGTTGAAACCAGCCAGTCAGTCAGTATTCTTTACAGTACTGAATGCTAATGAGTGATAATAAATACAGAGTGTTAGTCTTGACCTTTCTCTGTTTTATCTTCATGAATTGAACTGTAAATCAAAATGCTCCGCGATGATAAGTTTCCCAATTTAATGACAACGTTTCAGACTTCTATGATCACATACTAGTTAAATATCATCAAAAGAAAAGATAAAGTGAGCCTTACCTTCTGATTCTTTTGGATTCCAGTACAATTTTCCAGTTGTTTTGCATTTTTTCAGACCCTGTTTAAAAAATAAGAATTATGAATAACAACAAGCGGGAATATTCTCACTGATGTACTTATTAATTAATTTACAGTCTAAACGATTTCAACACACCTGAAGAAACAAAATACCACAATGCAAGGCAAGCATTGAACTCTTTTACTATCCACAGTCAAGGAACTGCACATATCTCATATATATATTACTTTTTTATGTCTATAAACTGAGATTCTTATATATCTACAAGGTATTGAATAAATTTTAGTTTGTTTACGTTAGAGATTTGTTTGAAATTAGATAAGAAGTTTTATTAAAACAACCAGACAAGAATTGCGTTCTAATAAATATCTTTACAATGTAGTATAACAATTTCTGGTTGGATGATATTATTAGACGGATTGAAAGTTTTTAGCTGGAGAAGTTCGTTAGGGGTATATTATGTCATTTTTCATATCATCTGAACTAAGAAGGGAAAGAAAATGTTAACCAGATGAGTAACAGTGAAGAGTAGTCAGGTGTTCCTCAACTTTTCATGCTTCTTCCGGCTAATTTCTATCACTCATAAGTTATTTTTTTACCGGCTCTTTCAGAATAACGCTAAGACAGAGTATTTATCTGAAGCAATTCAACCAAGATGCTTCAGAAAAGACAATACTAAGTTGTCGACTGCATGAAAAGATAATAAACTTGTGTATACATGAAAATGAGGTGTTTATGAATTGTAAATTTGGTTTTAGCTGTTTACATATCAGTGTTTGTAAATTCATTTAGGCCATTGCTTTTTCAGGTTACTTCATTCACTTATCATCTACAGGAAGAGGAACATACGAGAATGTCAAATTAAGAATCGGGAAGGCGAGAAACACATTCATCAACCTGAAACCAATCTGGAAATCTTCGTCACTCAGCCAGTATCAACAACAAAATTCAATCGGATTTTCAATACAAACATCAAGTCAGTCAGTTCTTCTATACGGATCAGAAACTTGGCGGGCGGGTTAAAAAGAATATTTCCAACAGCCTGTTGCAGACCAGACCTTTATCAACAACTCTCTTCGCTCTATGCTGAAGATCAGATGGCCGGGCTAGAAAGAATCACCAACAAGAAACTATGGGAACAAACAAACGAAACAAGAACCAATCGCCAACCAATAAAGATGCAGGAGAAAGTGGAGATGCATTGGACACTCGCTGAGGAGGCCGCTGGGTGACGTTGCGCGCGCGCCAGGCCATTGCTCGAGTGGAACCAGGCCGAAAGGGAAGCGGCGAGTGGGTCGTCGCTGCAAGGGTGACATGGAGGAGATAGTGTGAAGAGGAGTTGAAAGAGTATGGACTAACATGGATGGAGGTGAAAAGTAGAGCAGAAGACAGAAGTGGCAAGTGGAGACGTGCAGTTGAAGCCCTATGATCCACTAGGATTCCAAGGGAACAATAATAGTAGTAATTATTTTGTCAGGGGATGAATGTGGCAAAAGTATTCACGCATAACAAAGCTTGGATTGAGATGTTTTGAATGGAATTTTCACTTATAAACTTCATTTGAATATTTATCTAAGTATATTTAATTCAGATCTATGCACAGTAATGAAAACTGCACCTAGAAGTCTTCCAAGCCACTATTTCCTCCGAAAATTTTTAAAAGGTTTACCACATCGACATTTTACACCCGTTCTTCGACTACTGTGAAGCATTAATTTCTATGTTCACTAAAACTGGCAAAAAGAAAGCAGATATTGGGTAAAGCCTATTTCATTGTATACTATTCAGACCAAAAATTTATTGATTTATTTACTTTCTGAGTTGGGCATATGGCTTCAAGCTTGGGCTTCGAAGTTTCGGTGGCAGTGGCTTTATTTTAACGGAATGGGGTTACCAGACTCATGCGCAGCCTTCCCTCTTTAACGGCCTTATTACCGACTTAGTGAGGTTTAGGAGTACACCTATTAGAGGTTGAACCTCAGACATTTGGCGGAGTTGGCGAGTATTCTACCGCTGAACTAGTGACGCTAATGATACTGATTGGTTGCTAAATGATGTAAGCGATTTTGGTAACAGAATCCACTGAACAGCTCTCCATGACTATCCTTGGCATTTCGTCCAGTAGAACAACTCTCTAGCTTTCATGATGGTAAATATCTTTTTTATTAAATCATTAGTGAAAATATGAACTGATCTCATATGTCTAAAACACAATGTGCAACACTTAAACTGAACTAGGAGTTAAATAAATTACTATCCATCAACTTAGAAATTTAACCAGATTGTAATTAGTGAGTTTCGAAATGCGCATGGATCAGCTTTAACACACGTTTGAACAATTTGACTGTATAGTAAATTCATCACAACTACATCATGAGTGCGTCAATTTATAAACAAAACTGAAGTTGACAGGGTTTATCACAAAACAAATGGAAATATATCTGAAAAATCGATTACCCGACACAGGTATTCCGGCTGGACTTCATCACTAATCAACGTCAATGCCTGCTGAAGATACGTTGCACCCAAATCAGTACACTGGGGATGATAACAATAAAAGGAAAATATACTCATGGGATTGAATGCTTCCGACATGTTCCAAGTATATATATATATATATTCGAATAAAATTAGTCTAAATCTACTTGTTGTTGTTGACATTAACAAATAACGTTTATTCAAAGTCCTAAGAGAAGTTACCTTATTTTGAACACATGAATTGATGTGACTCAGTGATTAAGTATAGACTCTGGCATGAAGCCACTAAGCCAATGATCTCTCCATATCATTCATCCTCAAAGAGGATCAACAATAGCTTAAACAGCTCAGTTGAAAAGTCCTCTACTCTAATAATGACTGACGTATGTCCAAACCTCAGAGGATTAGGACTCTTTTTGAATTGTAGAAACGGCCTGTTTATAAGATTAACAGGAATAAAAGTTAGGTACAGAACCTCCTTGCAATTCATGAGTAACATCTAATATCTGGTAGTGTAATTGTATAAAAAAAACACCTGGAAATTCACATTTAAGATAATTCCATCCTGGGGAGATAGGCCCATAGCAAGTACAATAACGTTTTTACAAAAGATTGCTCTCAACAACCCTATTGTTTTCTAATGAAGCCAGTTTTGAGCTTAGTTACGAAATACATCTCGTCTTAACTTTCCAAACAGACAACTGATGAGTTGTGGAAAAACATCTACTGTACAAATTGAACAAACCTTTCCAAAGAAGGGTGAATCTACTTGTGAATACTTCAGACAAGTTCTGTAGGCTGAAAAGGGTTTTTTGGTTACAGGATTTCATTATGAACTGACATCGGTAAGAAAACCATTGGAAAACCAGCAAGGAGTACTGCATAGCTGATTCGGCCTAGTTTAGGCATGAGGACAAATACTCGCCAAAGAAATTGGTTAGTGGTCACGCTATATCGTGAATAGATAGAAGTCGGAACTTATGGACTGGTCATTGGATCGGGTCCGAGTGGCTGAATGGTCAGTGAAATCGCCTAGTAACCACAAAGTCCTGGTTTCGAGCCCATTTTTGTGTGTACATATTGCTGAAGAGTCCCAAACTAAGCTGACGAAATAGCTGTCCAGTAATTCTTGATGGCTTCTAATGGTTCTCCAACCAATGTCAGCTCATGATGAAATTCTGTAGCCAAATGATCAAATCCCCACAAACCAATACTTGAAGGGTTTTTATTTTTATTCTATTCTAAAACCTGGTTATTACTTACTTGGAGTGATGTTTAATCATTATTCTAATTCTTTGTGAAGGATTCAGTGAGTCTTCAGAAGTTAAAGGGGAATTTCTTTAAATGATGCCCCGAGAGATACATATCCAGAACATCATCTACCCTGAGGTTGCAGATATACTTCCCTCACGATTTTCAGCAGAAATTCCTATCGGTCTCATTGAATTAGTTTACATCAACCCTTAGAATTATTTTTCTATTATTTCATATTACTACATTCAAAATCGTAAGCATGACAAGATATTCAACGTTTAATTTCATCTTGAGTGTATTTACAGAAATTCTGTAATAAGTAAATACCCTTTTCATTACCAGACAGGCTTTTAAATATTCATCATTCGATTAATTTCTGAGTGTCCTTCACTTAGAAAATACTTTAAAGACTTGAAGTCATTATTGTGCTAATATTTAAATCAATCAAAATTTATTTTCCCATCCCACGTTCGAATTAAGCGCTTAACTCGCTTATTTATTTTCCATTAAATATCTCTATATCTGAAGAAACAGTAGGTATACCCTATTGGACCTGGAAAATTACACATAGACAATTAAGCAGCTCTGTAACTTACCATAGTTTTAACGAACCCAGGAGATAAAAGTGTACACATCTGAGCTAAAATCATTTCATAGACTTGTTTCCAGTAGGGATCTGTTATTGCGAAGTGTAGAACACTGAATGCAGATAAACAGATTTTGCAGTCTGTAAAATTGAAGAAGAGAATTCAATGAAATTCACCATTAAGCCATGAAATATGTCATTTTCTCAGTGTACAGTGTGGTTACATATTCTAAAGGTTATTAGTAAAAAAAAACAAAGGTTGATCCTGAACAAATAAATAATAATTGTATTTCAATAGTTTACACACAATGATAAGTTTTTTTTGCTTTGGTGATATTTCGAGAAAAATTATTGCCCGTGATCACACCAACTATTGAAACGTTTTTCTTTTTATTCACACACTTATAATTTGTAATATTATTACGAAAACAAGAAATGTATCATTGTGTGTAAACTAATGAAGTATAATAAAGGTTATGTTGTATTTCCTAATGAATGAAAAACAAAACATAACATAAGATAAGCTTTATTCCAAATCAGTACTTGTGATACAGAATGGAATTCTCAGCATTTTACTACAATATTGCATCCAGTTTTTTACATTAACAATAAATAAAGTTCTACATAGATTAAAGTTATCTCAACAACATATTAGTATGTCGGTAGCAAAGCCAAAATTAAAGTGTTTGAAGGTGTTAGAAAAGTAGATACTACTAGCATATTTACTGGCATAAGCGATAGCAAAAAGGTCGAGCTATACAGAGTGTGAAAGAACGAACAAGAATGTTTTAAGTAGAGTTTGCAAGGAAGAGAGAAACAAAACAGCACATAACAAAAATAAATACAGAATGAAGAGTGAGAAAACGTTGTACCTATAAATGATGTGAGTTGGAAAGACAAGATCCATTGGTTCTACTGACTATTTAATAAGTTAAAGGTTTCATGCCTGATGCATTCTTTATCGCACAGAACATGAGCTAATTAGGGTATGGTTGAGTTTTTGTACTTACTAGTGCGGGCATATAGTTTCCTATATAGGCTTCTTGTTTTCCCTGAAGAGATACATGGGGAGAGTTGTGAATGTAGAGGGTGTTGTGAGTCAGATAAAATGGATTTCGCCCATTTTTCACATGAGTCCATATGCCTGTCCACCAGAATATTAACAAGCTGGCTAAGTGGCAAACTGCTTACCCTGCTGACAACCTTTAACATCCTACGTAATAAGGTATAGTCTTTCTTCAATAGCCCAGGAAAGACTAAGGGGGAGCAATAGAGAATAATAGGCAGAATACGGGAGTTAACAAAATGTAGGAGTAAGGGTTGGGTTACACCAGAATGTCCTAACTTCTTGATGTAGAAGGTAAGACGGTATATTTTCTTGGAAATCGTCAAGATATGAGACGACCAGGAAAGATCAGAAGATAAAGTGACGCCTAGGTATTTAATTTCCGACTTGGTTTCTATTTCACTGCCATCTATGTTGCACACCTCGTGAGTGCTAACCAGTTTGTTTAGGTCAGATTTATGCCTAAGGGTGAAATTAACTGTTTGGCATTTGGAGGGGTTTAAGGTTAGACCGTTTTCCTTGGACCATTGGCTAATTTCCGATAAGAAGCCATTTAGTTTAGAGCAGTCACTTTGACATTTGACAGGCAAAGATACAGTTATTACCTTTTTTACTGACGCTTCGCTATTTAATACTAATAGCCTTATCAAAGTATTATTAAACCAGAATTTACAAAATGCACTCAGCATATATATATATATCAAATGCAATTCACATATTTTATATTTTTGATTACAGTGTAGTGCACATTGAACCCTTGAACTTTTGTTTAAACTCGCTCACTCATGTTTGACACACTTGGATCTTTTGAGTTGTGACTCTTCCGTACGTTCATTGGTTCACTCTCTCGTTGTGCTTTCATTCTGCACACTCTCCAAGCCTACCCCAGTGACGTCTGCAGATAAGCTGTACAACCTCTTTATTTATTGAATTTCATATTTCGTTGTGTAAAATATAATTTTCCCAGATACACTTGTCATACCAAGTCTTTTTACCTTGATTCAGTTCGTCAGTATTTGCACGTTGAGTAGCGTACAGCTAAGGTCGTAAAACGGTGAAGAAGTTTTGTAAGAGTGTTTAGAGTTGAGGTCTACCCTAAGCCTTAATAGCTCTTACAACAAATTGATTCCCCACTGTATTTTTGGTACAAGTATGCAATTTTCAGCCTACGATATCGGTAGCCCAAATTTTGCAGGCCGACCATAGATATCAGGCGTGCGTCGGTAGTGGATCGAGCCTCGGACAATGTACATGATCTGCGATAGTCCTAACCACTGTGCCACCGACGCACAAGTGGAATCCAAATTGTCTGGATAGGAATCAACGACTGAAACAGAATTTGACCTTGTTTTCAACACCTACCTCCCCCATGAAGTGACAAAATGAACACAAATGTGATAAGCAATTTCATTATGTGAACGCACGCTGTTTTTATAATTTTACACACTTATCAAATCCAACATTCTACACTTGGTTTTGTTATTTTTACCAACTGGTCAATTTGACAACGAAAAATAACCCCATGCTGCGGAACGATGATCAAGTTGTTGTATATACATGCTGAGTGGATTTTGTAAATTCTGGTTCAATATTACTTTGACAAAGCTATAAGCATTAAATAGCGAAACGTCAGTAAGAAAGGTAATATCGTTTTGTTTTTCATTCATCGGGAAATCCAAGAAAACCTTTATTATAATGAATACCATATACCGAATGCTCAAATTTTTTCAAACTGTTAAAATTGAACGTGGTTTGGAGGTATATATTGTAGTATAATTACAATCTATTTGATCTATTGTACAATGCCCAAACGTTTTACCAACATAGATCCTGGACACTTATGGCTTTTACTTATTCCATGTAACAGCTGTATATGGACACATACATGGCTTACTCCAACATTTTTCGCTCATAAAAAACCTTAGTTCCACAAACCTCTTTCTTCACGTAGTTACTCCATATTCACAAAAGTGTCATCCAGACAGTAAGAGCAAAATGTTCACTTATGAAATTTTGTATACTCCATAATTCAGTTTAGGTCGATGATAAATGCTCACAACAACTATTGATCCAGTTTAGAGTTACACAAGTGTCATGATTTGATTTTTGTATAATCGCATACTTCAGGTACATAATTTTTTCACTTGAAAATTTTGTTAAGCGTCAGTGATTTAGTGGCAAAAGTTCGCCAGCCACACATGTGGTCCGATTTCCATTCCAAGCCTACTCACTCTTAAACCTCGCCTAGACAGTAGTAAGCCTGGTAATGTGTGTAGGTTGGGCGTGAGGCTAGGAACCCCACACCTGCGAAAAAACTTTCAATGCTACTGAAATGTTACAACCCTAGTCTGAAGCCCTATGTCCCACTCGGAGCGAAAGGAATGAAGAACAGCTTGATTTGAATCTGAAGACAATGTCATGATGAATAATATTCAAGGTAAATGTCTGATTGATGCTGCACTGTATGTCTATCAACTTGTCGTAGATTTTTATATCTCTTTCTTTAAGAAAGAACTTAGAAAAAATGATTGCAGCCAAAAAATGAAACAAGAATCACATGTTTCAGCGACAAACGTTAAGACTGTGAAACCATCCTGACGAAATGAACCTCAATCTCCATAATATTTCCCTATGAAATTTATTAAACCATACCAAATATTTTTGAATAAGTTGTCATTATAAAACTGTCACCTGTCTGTAGTTAACCACTCTTGGTCGGAATGTCATTCAGTCTGGAGGCTGAGTTCTACAAAAATGCTTAATCTATATCTCATTTCCGGTCTAAAACATAAAATTCTACTAGTTGATTCTGAATATAACAAATCACTACACATTAAATAATAAATTCCCTAGACTACTGTTGATTGGTGCTATTTGACACTACGAAAATACACGATTTAACAGTTTAAATGGCTAGATACGATTTGGAATTATGGGAAGCCATAGTCACGAAACATTCCTTTTAGGATAGTCCTACACTATGCTTGTTGTCTTCAATACAACATTACCAAAGTTTGATCACCGTTGTGATTTTTTTTCTACTCCTGAATTCCCAAATAGAACTTGAGATTTAAGCCTTCAGGCCTTGAAATTTCAGTAACATTTCGGTGTTGTTTTCACTGGGTGAGGGTTCTAGTCTCACACTTAGCCTCTCCTCTTTTTCAGGCCTACTACCTGCTAGTAAACTAAGTTAGGTTTAGGAGTTCGTCGGCTGGAAGTCGAAACCCAGATCAAGTACATGGTTGCCGAGCATTCTACCGGTGAACCACCGACACTAATCATTATCATGGTATCTATATTCACGTCATTCTTTGACTTACCAACACTGGAATGATTTCCACTTGTATTAGTGGTCTAAAATGCAAAGAAATAAAAACAAGGTAATATTGACAATGTAATAGTCGGTGGAAAGTTCTATGAATTAGGTATTCCGACATAACATGTGACTTGTGAAACATTACCACGACTTCGAGTGGAATTTACGAGTGAAATTAGGCTGTCTTTATCAATTTTGTATTCATTCATAAAGAAATGCTGGTGATTCACCAAACAGAAGTGTTTTAAATGCAGTTAAAATATATTTGTTTTACTATGTATGACTTATTAATATGAACTGATATCAATGTACACAACTCATTAAGTATTTGGAAGAATGACAACATCAAATGCTGTCCATTTGTCAGATTAGACCACAACTTCAGCTTGTTTTAAATAATTCGACTGTGTGGTATAATACGCTTCTGATATATATGACTGAATATTCTAGTGAAATTTTCACTTAATATTTGTAAACTCCTTGATTCTCTCTATCTTATTAGATAGAATATAGAATGAATGACAGTCGGACAACGAAACATAAACGTTCTATACTGACAGACCAGTTAACTATACATCTTCATTCATGCATTTATTCTCCTTGATGAATTTGAATAAAGCAATAACAACAGGGGTTTGTGTAGCATAATATGGTACCATCATTTATTTCGTTGGCTTCTCATCAGCTGCTGCTTACAGACTAAATAAATTATGAGGTTCACGTACAGGAAAGTTTTAACATACTTGCAAATTTCTCATGATGTCAGTTGACCGAAGCTTCCGCAATCAGTGAACAGTGCTCAGAAAATTGAGCTTATATAGTTTTTACAGAGGCAGTTCAAGTTGAAACAAAGTAAGTGTGTGCATACAATGGTAAAGGAGTTACGTAATAAAGACGAGAGGTGAATAAGACGATGAGCAACTAATAAATTAGGTGGCGATGTACTGAGTTCAACTCACGTCATAGAAACAAGAGACAAGCAAAATTACAGATTATAAAAACAAGAGGGGTGAGATTAAAGGCAAGGATTACGTAATCAGATGAGAGAATAGAGACATTCAGTTACCAGGGCAGGGAAAGACTAATAACTGCTTCTTTCTGAACACATAAATCTGATTTGAAGCGTTCGATAGAAATTGCTTCGGCAAACTTGAGGAGAATGGTGCTCCTTTGTCTATTGATAATTTTGAAGGATTTATCGATTTCCACCTCATGACTCGTGTCGAGGAGATGCCTGGCGATGGCACCCACTGTACATTGTTACCTAATTTATTAGTCACTCTACATCTTACGCATCTCTCGTCTTTATTACGTAACTCCTTTACCATTGAATGCATACATTTATTTGGTTTAAAATTGAACTGCCTGTGTAAAAACTATATAAGCGCAATTTTCTGAGCACTGTTCACTAATTGTGGAACTTCCTGTCAACTGACAACATGTAAAATTTGCAAGTATGTTAAAACTTTTCTGTACGTGAACCTCTTAATTTATTTAGTCTGTAAGCAGCAGCTGATGAGAAGCCAACGAAATAAATGATGGTAACATATTACTGTGCACATCCTCATTCATTTACTATTCAGTTTATTCTTCTTAGGGAAACATGAATATTGAGCATAACCGTTTTTCATTCTTTACTTGCATTTAACTCCATTATATCAATATAACTTGCATTAAGTCCTTAGTAACTTCTTAATGTGTTAAAATATTACCACATTTTTATATACACCAACTGTGATTTAATACGGTATATTGCAATTGGGAGATGGGATTCTAGATTAATTAAAAGCCTACCACAGAGATTGTCAGTCTTAAACATCTCAGTTGACAGATAAAACAAAATAATTCTCCAATAGGTAAAGTATACTGACATCGAGTATGCATTGCTGACAGTTTATCGATTGGATTTAATCTCCTAAATGAAACTAATTATCAAATTCGCAATTTATGTATTTTTATGTGATTAGTTCACCAGAGTTCCCTCTGAAAACCTAGAGTGTTCAAATCAAAATATTTGATCTACTTACTACCAAAACTGGTAATCAAGAGACTAAGCACGAATGCATAAGACTATATACTACTAGGGGAATGAGATGAGTAATAATTATATACCACTCACATCAGTCATTGGTGCTTGTTATTCAGATTATCGATATGATCCAACCATAAGAGGGCCATATCGCTCGTTTGAGTCCAAGCTCTTCAACGGTGTATCCAATTTGACTTAGCTCAGAAAACTGAATCAGCTCAAAAAGTCCGATTTCTAGCTAGCTGCTTAGGCGAACCGGTAACATCATAAGTCGAATTCGCTATTTCCTAATTAATTGGCAATTTACTAATTCGAAAAAAGGTGATATTTCACCGTGGTTTTCTTCAAGCCACTCTCCAAACGGGCAAAATGACTGTCTGGTGTTTATAGATCACTTAGGTCTGCCTAATTATCACTACGAACTGATGTGAGTGGTCTAAAACTACTTATTTCAGTCAATCGGTAGTATATAGTAATATGCAAATTTGCTTGCTTTCGTGAATAACATTTATGGTATCAAGCAGATCATGTAATGTGATGTGAAGAATCTCGACTTCTCGATGAAATTGTGATGAAATAATCACCTTGAAATACGTTAACTGAGAAATAATTTGCAAACTGCAAATCTGACCTCAGGTATCACCAGTTCACCCAAGTGGCTAGCCAGATATCTCGTGGTATGATGAACTGATTTGGCTGAGTCCGATGATAACCTGAAGCCCAAAGGAGACAAACGGCAGTCAAGTGTTTAGATCCCTTCGATACTCTGGTTAGTGAGTACTACTGGTTGATTGAGGCAACATACAATTACTCAGTTCACTCAATCAGTAGTACACAGTTTCATGAAACTAATTGTCCTTTAGGGCATCAACACCTTGATATAATAATGGTTAAGTTATACTTACAGATATCCCATCTATTTATGCATAAAATACGCACTGACTTACTAAAATTTCCATAGCTGGTAATGAATATACTACTTGAACAGTAAATAGTAGTACTAAGCATAGAATCACCATCGTTTGAGAAAAAATGATATTATTATGAATGAAACGATTAAAATTTATAATTCTTCTTGTTTGAATAAAGTGAAGGACACATTTTTGTACTTTATACTCTGCTCAATTCTAACTGATGATGATAATGATAGTAATAAACAAAATGTGTTTTTAAAAATTTCTAATTGCTAAGATGTATTTACACTACGCAAAAATATTTTTTAGTTTGATCAAAATTGTTACTAAAATTGATATTTAGAGCTACCTATCTTTACAAAAAAATATCACGCTATGTTTAAACTGTGCAGTTTAAAATTAAGACTGAACACCTAAAAAAACTTATCATCACTAACTACTACTACTGATAATAATAACAGTAGTAATAACAATGACAACAGCCTTATCCTTCACAAAACATCTACACAATATACAGTGTTTTAGCTCAATTAATTGTGCAATATTTTCTCACCATCTAAGATCTTCAAGTGGAACAGGATTCTAAAGTATCTAATGTGATGTAGTGCTGTACAGTTTGAAGAATAAAATAATCATTCATGGTAATATATGTATAAAACTTGGGTACTGTGGTAGTAAGTAATTCCATATTATTTTGTTTATTAGATGTATCACACAGTAAAACAGTATTATTTACTGGATGACGTTTCGAACAAAATTTATTGTTCACAATCATGCCATCAATTATAATCACACGACTTTGAAACTTGAGTTTTATAGTTTTTTGTTTTCTCCTACTTGTCGTAGGGGTAGTAGAATTTTCCAGATATCTGGGACAGGTGATGAATCATTCCTATAACATGTATTTGCAGTTGATCCGATAAACAAAGCTTCTGTTATCAATCTCTCCCTATACCCTGTGACATTAGATTTTAAAACTGTCATCCTATGGTTATGTGTAACTGCATGTAGTGTTATAGCTGAACTATTCCCTAGATTTCTTATCTTATTTGGGTCAACCAATCTAGATTTTGCTAGGTTTTCATGTTCGGCTAGTCTGACTGCCCCTGTTCTACTACTTTGACCTATGTATTTGACCTGACAGTCATTCCAGCCGGGTATTAGATAAACTAAACTGTTTTGTTTTAAGGGCTCCACAGGATTGATCCTTTAACCGACAAAGCTTGTTTCTAACTGAGTTTGTGGGTTTGAATGCCACTTTTATTCCTGCCTTGGTAGTCAGAAACGAATCTAAAACAGGAAGTGATACACATAAAAGAAGCCTTGGAACATAATTATTACCCGGATAAATTAGTCCGGAAATATGTAAGGAAATGTAAGAATAAGATATATAATGATAGTAGCGATAGTAATAATAATAATGATAATAATAACAATAGTGATAATAATAATAATAATATTAATGACGACACCAACAATAAGGACTCTAAATCATCAGTAGTAATTCCATACAAGGAAAGAACCTCGGAGGCCTTACATAGAATTCGTAACAAGGCGGGAATAAAAGTGGCATTCAAACCCACAAACTCAGTTAGAAACAAGCTTTGTCGGTTAAAGGATCAATCCTGTGGAGCCCTTAAAACAAAACAGTTTAGTTTATCTAATACCCGGCTGGAATGACTGTCAGGTCAAATACATAGGTCAAAGTAGTAAAACAGGGGCAGTCAGACTAGCCGAACATGAAAACCTAGCAAAATCTAGATTGGTTGACCCAAATAAGATAAGAAATCTAGGGAATAGTTCAGCTATAACACTACATGCAGTTACACATAACCATAGGATGACAGTTTTAAAATCTAATGTCACAGGGTATAGGGAGAGATTGATAACAGAAGCTTTGTTTATCGGATCAACTGCAAATACATGTTATAGGAATGATTCATCACCTGTCCCAGATATCTGGAAAATTCTACTACCCCTACGACAAGTAGGAGAAAACAAAAAACTATAAAACTCAAGTTTCAAAGTCGTGTGATTATAATTGATGGCATGATTGTGAACAATAAATTTTGTTCGAAACGTCATCCAGTAAATAATACTGTTTTACTGTGTGATACATCTAATAAACAAACTAATATGGAATCCATCATGGTATTTTGTTTTCGTCTTGTGCATCAGTAGGTTAAGAGTCAATTAAAAATGTGCATGAGTAGATTTACCGACCAACGGATTTAAGTGAATAGTTAAAACAAAGACAGACAGATAGAGAAAGTTGCATGCATTACGTTGCATAGAAATTCAGGTAACCCAGTGGTTCAAGCGGGTCGCCATTATATGAAACTATAACAGATAAAAATCCGGTCAGAGTTGAATCGAAACAATCGCACACCTCTCCTGATGGATATGAAAGATAGACACTCTGAAGTTTAAAATGTTATGTAATAAATATTATTGTCAACAATAATGACAAGCATTCAAAGCTCTTGTAAGGAGACGTTTGAACAAGATTGCTAGTTTTTGAATTAAAAGCTTCTTACGGACAACTTTTAACTAAAATCTATTCGTAGTCTACAGTACATTTCCATGTAGAGGTAGTCCCTAGAAAACCGACTGGAGAAGAAGTCGATGAATAGAGTCTTCTGATCCAATTTCTTAGTTGATAGCAGCTAAATATTTTTCACATTTTCGGCCATAGAGTCAGTAAGTTGGGAAGGTGTTAGCCGAAACAAGACATTTCGTAGATAAAGAATTCCCCAGATTTACCTTTTCATAAGGTAGCATTGAGGACGGTGTCTTGACTAATACCAAAGGCTTTGAGAACAAAAACATTAATTCTTCAGAGCCAATAGAATCATCCAAAAATTTAGAATTTAAGCTACGAGTATTTTGGCAAGTAATGAATAAACTACATTTTACACTTTTCAATAATAAACATTATAAGGCTAATTTTTACCGTTTATTTCGAATATTTCTTGATATTATTGTTTTTCTTAGTATATTGTAAGAGATCTAACAACTAAACACTCCAAACAGTGATACCTAGTTTGAATATCCATGAAGAATAATTGAAGTTCTTACATAAGTACCACTATATATTTCATGAATTTTTATTTATTTACATGAATTCACCTACAAATATCTTTTTTGGTATAATGTAATAGGAGCCTCCATTGAATTATAGATTCAGATAGAGAAGTCTTTTATGAGCAGAAAGTGTGGTTGGTTTTAACGGCGTAGGCTTCATGAATTTGTAATGATGAAGCGTTGAGCATAACCATTTTATGTCAGAATCTACAAATATCCAAATTAGGAACTGTTACCTCGAAAAACACATCATGAAGTCTCTGGGTCTTAATCTAATGACGTATGTGAATCAACCTCTCTCAGTTGACGATACAGATCTATTTTCACTGTTCATAAAAACAACACGATTGGCCCTGCAGTTCACAACGTTTTGAAAGGATTTCCGCAGACCGATATTCAGGCTTGTTGCTAATGAAAAAAAGACTTATGATCAGATGTTAAGTATTGGTGAACAACAATGTAAACTATTCGAATCTTAACAATCATGTATCCCTCCGCATGTTGTATCATGTATGCACGAAAATACCGAATATAAAACCAAAATAAAATAATTATACAGTAACTTCGTGTTTCATTACTTAATTCACATAAATTCATAAACGGAATAAATGTATGAAATTTGTTCCCGTTTACGACTTGGAATAAACGAAGATCAACAGTTTTGCAGAACAAATTAATACCATCAACTCTTATTTCGTTGGCCTCTCATCAGTAGCTTACAGCACAAAGACATTATTCAGTATAGTTACAGGAACGATCAATATATGAATACAATGCTACTAATAATAGCAAACACTTTCAAATTCAAATGATTATGCATTTCTTAAGGAATGTACAAATAATAGTTATATTTGCTTTATTACCTTCATTTATCTAAAGTAGTATAAAATGTATGACGACAATTTAGCAATTCGTACTATTTTCATGATATTCTTACATGACTGATAGATTTGTGAGCAAATAATTTACTTGAATAAAGCAACAGCAACAGTTTCGCAGAATAAAATGGTACCATCACTCCTTATTTTGTTGGCTTCTCATCAGCGGATTACAGAACAAAGAAGTTACTAGTATATCTGCAGAAACAATAAATATATGCATACAATGCTACTACTAATAATAATCACTTTATCCCCAAAAATAATAGTAATACACAATGGAAACTTTTGACATTACGTAATCAGATGAAAGAGGGAATGAAAAAAACCAGTTACCAGGGCAAGGGAAGACTGATAACCACTTTTCTCTGAACTCATAAAGAAGAAATTGATTGACAACAATAAGTACAACGATTTAAATCCCCGAGGATCCCGCTTGCCACAAATGTATGGCCTTCCGAAGACAAACAAGAAAGAAATCTCTCTGAAACCTATACTTTCGATGATCAACTTGCCCCAACATAAGGTAGCATGTTGGCTTGCGGAGAAGTTGGAACCTATTCGTCAACGGTTAGGCGTGCACATTATGAAAGACTCATTTCATTTCTTTGAAAGTGTGAACCACATGAACGTTTTAAACAAGTTCATGGTGTCATTTGACGTAACCGCCTTGTTCACAGTGATTTCAATCAGTGAAACTATTGAGACTATTTGTCAGCAATCTGATCTTTTCCCATTCCCAGAGTTGGAATTCAAACGCCTACTGCTTATGTGTACCATGGATGTGCAATTCCAATTTGTGACAACACTCTTTATCGCCAAATAGATGGTGTAGCTATGGGCAGTTCACTTAGCCGTGTTTTAGCAGACATCTTCATGTTCAACCTTGAAAGAACAAAGTTGAAGCATGCAATCAACGAAACAACTTCTTATTGTCGATATGTCAATGACACATTTGTAGTGTGCAACAATGGAAGTCATGCTTCCCACTCACTTAGACTATTCAACGACAAACATACCAATACTGAATTTACTATGGAACATGAAAGTGATGGAAATTTCCACTCCCTCGACATCGCCATACAACGCCTAGAAGATGGTAGTCTTCAGAAGTCATTTTACCGAAAGTTTACATGGAAAAGA